TAACTTGTTAAAATAAAAATGTATTTTTAAACATGTTTTAATTGATATACGATTATGTATGTTAATTTGATAAAWGTTTAAAATGAAACATTTAAAAGCAAAGGACATAAAATAAATTAATTAACTAATTATAGGGGTATAAAGTGAAAAAGTGAAAAAGTAGTATAAAGGGTATCTTGGTCATTTAAAATTTTAAGACTTTAAGACTTTTGATAAATTTGCTTAATAAGATAGTATAGATATATATAACAAATAATACGTTTCTAGAGCCAATTTTCAACTTCGATTATTTCAACTAGAGATGCATAGGGTTTTCAGGCTTAAGCCCCACTCTTCCAAACTCGTTTCATGTAATGGCTATGCAAAAAAAGCCTTAAACTTGAATCGGGATTGGAATTGGTATTGGCGACATGATTTAAAATATCAATATGTTGACAACTTAATACATCGAAAATTTTATCGATTAAACTTTCAACACCGACCACATTTGTTGAAGGGTTTAAAGTCGTAAAGCATGTGAAAGACAATTTGTTCAAATATTTAAGTAATTATGAAAAATTTGAGATTTATAAAAGTTACGAGATTATTAAACTTACTAGAAAACTTGAGGATCAAGACTTGAGAGAAATTTTCACAATATCATAATAACGAACACTTGAGAAACGAGAATTGAGAGGGATTTTGAGAGTTTCTCTCTCTCTCTCTCTCTATATATATATAAATATAAATAAATAAATATATATATATAGAGAGAGAGAGAGAGAGAAAGAGAGGATCGATCAAATGCAAACTACTCAATTTGTACAAACCGTGCAAACCACGATCATCCGTTGATTTCACTGTTTAATATTATGAAATTTTTTCATGAAATTGTTTAATCTTGTGAAATTGTTTCATATAGTATTTTTTTTGGTGAAGTTGTTTCATATATGGTTATGAAATTGTTTCATATAATACTTAATGAAATTTTAATGAAACTGTTTCATGTATTTCTCTAAAATTAAAATAATGAAGATGATAATATTTATGATTAACACTCTTCACAATAAAAATGATTAATCAACCTCTCATAATTACCAAAAAAATGAACAAAATGAAAAATTATGATGGGTTGAATTAGATTTGCACGGTTTGTACAAATTAAATGTTTGTAATTGATCGCTCCTCGATATATATATATATATATATATATATATATATATCTATAAACCCCAGTAAAATATAAAAAATTGCCGAAAGGGGTTGTTACCAGACTATTTATAGACCTTGGACTGAGTCGGACTTTCAACTTAAAAGTGGATTCTATCAGTTTTTCCAAGTTGGCTTTTTAACCGGACCTTATTTTTTTGGCTTGATTGAGTTTTCTAGCTTTTTACTAGGATCGGGCTTTTTTGAACCGGACTTCGAAATACTTTTTTATGCGTCTCTAATTCTAAATACAAAATCATGAAAAGGAATATTTGACGATATAAAAATATAAATTTATTCATTTGTCATTATTTATTCAAACAATACAATAATAACATATAATATATAGTCAAATACAAAGGTTATAATCAACAATAAATTCCAAAGACTAAAAAAGCCTCACATCCTTCAAGAAAAACTCGAATTGTCAAAATGATTTAATATAAGGAAGCCAAAACAACTGCCAAGAAAGTGACCAGTATTATGGCGGTGAAGGATGGAGCTGCGCTAGTTATTGGTGGCGGAATGGGGCTTCCGACGGGAACATAGTAGTAAGGGAAGTACGGAGGAAAAGCGATGGTAGATGGTGGTGATACGGGTGCCGATGAGGGTGCTCCTTGGGGAGTGGTGGAGGTGGCTGGGGAGACGTTGATAGCTAATTTCTGACCAATTTGACAGTGACTTACGACAGTGCAAATATAGTAATGGTTGCCAGGTTGGGTCAACTTGACGACGACAGGGCCAATAGAGTTGGGTGAAAGGGTGTTGACGGAGGAGCATTGTCCGTACACCACATGTGAAACTTCCACCACATTATGTAATCCGGTGGTGAAGTTAAAAAGAAGAGTGTCACCGACGGTGAAGGTCTGTTGGGAAGCCCACGTGGTGTAAGTTGCAGCACCACCGATTGGAATGGTCCAGCCCAAGGTGTCTCCTACGACATGCCTAGTCTGCGCCAACGTGCCTTGCAACCGCAGAGATGCAACCATCATGACCACCACCAACAAAACCATAGAGTTCAATCCTGTCATTTTTTCTGTGTTGAAATCTCATATAATCCTCTTGTTCTATAAACTTTCTAGTTTTAGAGTTCGTCGATAGGGATTTGACATTTGTGGTGTGAGGGTGTTTATAGAAAAATAGAATAAAATTAAAAGTTGTGTGTAACTTAAATATATCAATTTCATTTCTTTTATATATTTTAAAATATATTAAATATTTATTTCGAGCCGAAAGAGTAGGTATTTTTGTGAAATGGTGGCTTATATCATAAATGCTGCTATCTTTTCGTTTCATTCCACGAGTCGTTTCGTAGAAACAAACCGTACTATCTACTGTGGACGTTTTCTGTAGGATTTTGCATTCGTCTTAAAATAATCGTCAAAATTACTATTTTAATTTATCTTAAAATAAATATTTAATTTTGAAAGTAAATGTCTAATTTTCCATTTTTCTTAATTATAAGGTGAAGAATTTTTTTTTTGATTAACCTGGATATCCAACCCGCTATGCGAGCTGACTAATCTCAGGATGACCACCTGCTTTGCAGATAGCCCGGAGTCACCGCATTTGAACCTCCGTGGCCACAAAGGGATTTTTATTCCTCTTTGGATTTAAACCTGTGACCTCCTTGTACTTTTGACCTTTGGAGCCAAACTCAAACCAATCAGGCACCACCCTTGTGGTTGAGGTGAAGAAATTTTTTCCTCTATACTTAAGGATAAATTTGTTTAGTTAATTAAAAAGTGCAATAATTACACGTTACTCAGGCTTGGGCCTTATTCGAGCTTTTCTGGGTTAAGTTTTAACGGGTCTTGAATTCTTTTTTTTTTTTTTGGGTTTGAGCGGGATTTTTGGCTTGACTGGGTCGGTGCTAGGTTCACACTTACTAAGACCGGGTTTACATACTAGACTTCAACAAAAATCTTTTATGCATCTCAAATTTTAACACAATAAATAATTACTGATATAAAAATATAAATTTTTTATTCAAACCATTTAAAGTAACATATAATACATAATGAACACAAACATTTATAAATTCCTAGTATTAAAAACTGCATCACATGCCTCAATAAAAACTCGAAAGATCAATCAAAATGATCTAGTAAAAGAAAGCTAAAGCAACTGCCAAGAAAGTGACGGGTACCACGGCGGTGAAGGATGTCGATGAGCTAGTTGTTGGTGGTGGAATAGGGCTGCCGGCGGGAGAGAACACGAAAGGGGTTGGAGGAGTAGCGATGGTAGATGGTGGAGATACGGGTAGAGATGGTGTCCCCTCGGGAGTGGTGGAGGTGGCAGACAAGACATTGATGGCCAGTTTCTGACCAATTTGACAATGGCTTACGACAGTGCATATATAGTAGTGGTTGCCAGGACGAGTCAAGGTGACGAGGGCAGGGCCGGTAGGGTTGAGTGAGAGGGTGTTGGTGGACGAGCACGGGCCATATGCTGCCTGTGAAACTTCCGCCACATTATGTAATCCGGTCGTGAAGTTAAACAACAGAGTATCACCGACGGTGAAGGTCTGTTGGGAAGCCCAGGTGGTATAAGTTGCAGCACCACCTGCGGGAATAGTCCAGCCCAAGGCGTTTCCAACGACATGCCTAGTCTGTGCCATTATGCCATGCAATTGGAAAGATGCAATGAACATGACCACTAACAAAATCATAGACTTCGATCCCGTCATATTTTTTTTTGTGTTAATCAGGTCGCCCCTTTTCTCTCTCTAGAAACTTTCTTGTTTTAGACTTTCTCTCTCTAGGATTGAGATGGATGGTGGTTTGAGGTGATGATGGTATTGTTATTGAGTAGGTATTTATAAGGGTGTGAAATGCTGGAGTTTAACGAATCTGTTGAATTTATGAACATTGACTTATTGTGAGTTGTAAAGTAGAAGTTGTAGTTGGTGTTGTATTAGGTAATCAATTAGGAGGTTTGGTATCATGGGAATGATTTAGGGTGTTATTGACAAACTATTCTGATAGAATAATTATCAGATATATCAATTATTAGCTGATAAATCAATATATAAAAGTATTTATAGTTGATACAAGAAGCATACTTGGAAAATATAAAAAAAAAAATTTTAAAAAGCTATCTAATATCTATACTATGTTATAAAACATTTAACTAAAACTCTTAAAACCCATTTTTTATGCAAAAGATATTGTTTATTAATGTACATTACTTAAAATTCTAGATTACAAGTAAATTGTACTTACGTACAATTTACTTATTAAAGCTTCATGTTTGAATTCGTGTAACTAACTGCATATAAACATAATCAAATGCATGATAAACATCTCATTTTGGATATAAAAAATCTAGAATATAATAAAGATAATCGTTGAATTTTAACAATTATTATCTTTACAAAAAAGTATATTATTAAACTATAAATTACTTCGTTATTAATCATAAATTAAACTATAAAATAAAAAATATCGAATTAAAAAAATTACCCAAAAGAACGAGATCTTTTAAATAGTTAAATTGATACTAATTTCGATATTTTTTTAATTTTTTTTATGATATCTTAAAACGTATATTCTTTTCAAAACAACATAAAATCATATTATAACATCGAGGGAGACAGAGAATAAAACAAAATATAAAAATCGAGATATATCTTGTTGCATTATAAGAGTACCTTTCTAGTAGTTTTTTAAAAATCTAGCTTATAAGCTAACTTATGAATTACGTATAGAAGATTTTTCAACACATTAAAAAAAACTTGCTTATGTTTATTCAACTATAATTTTATTATTTATTAAAATCATAAATTATAATCATAATTAGTTTTATCAAGCACAATAAAACTTGTTAGTAGGGGTGTACGGGGGTTGGGTTGGACGGTTTACAACATTTTTACAATCCAACCCAATTATGGCAGTTTGAAAAAATCTCAACCTAACCCAACCCAACTCGTTCAAAAGTATAACCCAACCCAACCCCTGCGGGTTGAAGCGGGTTGGGTTGGCGGGTTAGTAGTTACATAAATTTGACGAATGAAATAATTCATAAAACTTAATTTTATAGACCATATAATTTATAAAACCTCATAGAATTTGTTAAGACGCCCAGAATCATACTATAAACATATTGTAACTCTTTTACTAAGACATTTTTCTTGTTTCGCCCTATAAAATATCATATTAGGACGCTTAAACATTTTAGGCATCCTATAAAATCTAATGTTTGTCAATCAATGTTGTGGTGGAGTGGTTAGTGCCTGGGCAGTTCATAGCGCTGAACCCGGGTTCGAATCCCTCTACGCACATCATGTGCGACATTTACTAAAGGGGCATGCTTTAGCCCTGGATGTGTCTGGGATTAGTCGAGCTTCGACTCGGATACCCTTTCAAAAAAAAAAATCTAATGTTGTTGTAGGAAATGTTATAACTAAACATTTTCTTTCCACTAAAGCACAATATAAAATGACGGAGGATTTAGATTGATGGATTCGTCAACCAAATATCTATCAATATCGTTCATATTCTCCGACATATCAATTTGTTGTTGTTGCAAAAAGGATTTCAATAATTTTCTTTTATTAATTAGATTATTTGTCATCATTCATTGATCGTGAATCTCTTTTGATAACCTATACATTTAGCTAAAATGAAATACAAACATAATATCAATAAAAATTATAAAATTTATACATTATTAATATATATATATATATATATATATATATATATATATATACACATACATACATATAGGGTTGGGTTCACGTGAGACTAAAGGGTTTTCGTGAGACCTGTAAGATCAATTTATGTTCATTGATTAACTTTATAAACTAATGATCTAATGGTCTAAAAGTTGTATAGTGGCAATTTTGTGATTATTGAGAAGTTTCGTGGCAATTTTGTGATTATGAATATTCAGATTGTAGATCTAATCCAAGAATTGAGAATTGGTCTTACGGGTCTCACGAAAAATCATTGGTCTCACATGATCTCAAGTATATATATATATATATATATATATATAAAATATTATAAAAATTATATATTAGCGGTGGGTTGACGGGTTCAACCTTCCTAATTGGCGGTTTGATGGTTAGGCGGATTGGGTTTAATTGAATTGTTAATGGGTTGGGTTGGACATATTTTGCGGGTTGATAATTTTTTGTACACTGCTACTTGTTAGACAACATCAATTAATGCTCTAGCTTTCTTTATTTTAAAATAAAAAATGATTTTCTTTCTCTTTTTGAAATAAATATAATATATATTAAAAAAATATATTAGGTAATATTATTATTACATGGAGTGGAAATTTTGATCCCCTTTTTACCTAATGCTCCCCGTGAAATTAAATTATTCAATCTTAATATTATTTTTTAACACATAAAACCAACATGGCATTGTTACTTTTTAATATAATATCCATGTTTAAATATTAAATTAATATATAATTAACTGTTTTTAATATATGTTATTTGAAAGTAAAGTCTGAAAACAATAAGATGTATACATATATAATATTTATCCTCAAAAGTAAAACTACTGTTCCCATAAATACTTTGACGTACAAAAAAACGTATGAGAAAGAAAGCAAGATCGAAAGCTGAACAAGCGGAAAAAAATAATTATAAAAGAAATTAAAAAATGAAGATTAAGGCTAGAAACAAACTAAGAAAAGGAAACCCTAGATGCAAGTGAAAAGTAAATTGCACCAAAGAAACGTAAGCTGATACAAACCGCTATGCGAGCCGACTAATCTCAGGGCGACCATCTGCTTTGCAGATAGCCCTAAGTCATCTCATTTGAACATCCGTGGCCACAAGGGAATTTTATTCCTCCTTGGATTTGAACCTGATACCTCTTAGTACTTTTGACCTTTGAAGCTAAGCTCAAACCGATTAGGCACCACCCTTGTGGTTATCTATCTTGGGGCTTCTGTTGCCTATCTCCTGGCTTGCTATATTGCTACCACCCACTACGTCGTGAGCACCCTTCCTCTTGCTTAGGCTAGTTACACCATGTCATACCCCTTATTTTGTTATCCTAATTCTGCGTCTCCACGAACTTCTGTCAAATGTCATGTTCTCGAAAATGCCTAAGCCTTTTATGTTTATCCTCAGTTGCTTATTACACGTCCTCCTTGGCCTGCAGTTTCTCCTCACCCTTAGAACATCACAGTTTCTATTTTCGTCACGTACCTACTGAGTGTCGCCTGCAAACATGCATTTTTTTATATTTGACATGAAATTAATCCATGTATTTTATACGTAAACCCCTTTTCATGTTACAAATACGCCTTTCACGAACAAAAGACATAAATGCCCTCATAAATTATTAGATATATCAACACACATTCGAACATGTATTAGATAAGAACCTGTATAATAAATTGTGAGTATATATATACTAGATTTGGGATCATGTGAAACTACTTGGTTCTCATGAGACCTGTAAGACCATCTCGAGCCGTTGACGCACCTGATCTCACCGAGCCTTTACTGGCTCGTCTCATACATTCTTTTACAAACCCAGTAACTCATACAAACTTACAAATCAATTTTCATGTGTTGTTTCATATGTGAAACAACGTTAATGACTTTTTCTCGTACACAAAACAGTTATGAAAGAGTAGTGGAATCAGAAAATTAAGAAAACGAAATTTATGGTTAATAATTTTTTTAAGAACAAAAACTTTATATTTTTTTATATTTCTTTTTTCTAGAAAATTAGCGTGTGAATTTAAAGAAGCTACTTCAATTTATACAACTTTTGTTGGTTTAATTTTGACTTTTTGGGCATAATTAGTCAAACGTACTCGTTTTGTATATTTCAATTTTCATATCTCGAACCTTCTCTTGGAATCCTTTTTTTCTTTTTGTTTTTTTTTTTTTTGTGTTTTAGGGGTTGTTTGGCAGTTGCTGAATGGTTTGATACATAATGATTAAGTGGTCAGAATGATTAAGAGGCTCTCATGATATAGTGCAAAATAAAATATAATTCTTTGGCAATTGTTTACAATGAAATTAGGGCGTTTAATGGTTAAAGAAGGCTCAGGATACAAAATCATTCAGGGGGTTTTAAAAACCATTAAGAGGTAGATTTTTTTGCCAAACAATATTCACCTCTTAACGATTCAGATGTTGTCTCTTAATGAAACTATTAAGAGGTAAACAAACAACTCCTTAATTTTCCAAAACTTGTGGGTTGGTTTTTCTGAAATTTCTCTGTAGATTATACTAATAAATAAGATTCTGATTTATAAGTTTATTTTTTTTGTAATAAAGGATTTTTTTTTTATACCTTTAATCAATATTAAAACATTTTAATTATAATTTATATATTTTAAGATAACGTTGAGTACACCTTTTTATTGAAACGGGTACTATTATTGGTTTAGGGTTTTGAATTTATATATGATCGGTTCTTCTAGATGTCAGATTTGTATTAAGTTCAAATAGAGTTTCATATCCTTCAATTCTGAGTATTTGCATCTAGTGACAGATTCATGCAGTAAAAAGGGGAGCGGGACACTTTTGGTCTCACAGAGACAGAATTTTCTTCGACCTGTGAGTTGTGCCCGTAGCCTTGCCTTCAGTGTCGGATGTTTGGCCCGGTTGCTGGAAGTTCTGGATCCACATGATCGTATCGAGTTTGTGTTATCCAATTTCTTGAATGCAACAGTGGAAGTTTTAAGTTCGCTCGATGTGATTTTAGGTTTTGAGCTATGTCTTGCTTAGCCGTGTGCATGGATGGACCTTGTTCGAATGTGTAGGGTTATTTTAGGGATTTTGAGTTGACACATTTTGA